AAAAAAAAAAAAAAAAAAAAAAAAAAAGAAACAGCATCACAGTGAAATGCGAGCAATGAGTCTCTTTTTTCCAGTTTTCATTTTTTCATTAGTCCATGTTTGTAGTTACAATGATTACATCCCTCATAGGGAGCTGGTACATGCATGTGACACATTTTAATTATTTCCCATCCCTTCCTCTCTTCTCCTTTCTGCCTCTATCTCTTGGTCCTTTTCTTTTTCATACAAGATTTACCTCCCTGTTCCTACTCTCTATTGTCAGGATGGTTCTTGATTGGCCCCTGGACTTGGAGCTGGGTGTGGTGGCACACACACCTGTAATCCCGGCACTGGCGAGGATGAGTCAGGAGGATTGATGCAAGTTTGAGAACAGCTTGTGCTATGTAGTGAGTTCAAGGCCAGCCTGAACTACACAGTGAGACTGTCAAAAAAAAAAAAAAGAGATTTGGGGGCATCAGAGCAATGTGAATATGTCTTCCATATCAGGTAAGGTTTTATATTAATGTTTGTTTTGGGGAGCACCAGAAGGATATCTTGGTTCTTAGGAAATACCTATGCACGCTAAAGTATTCAGGGTAAAATATGATCTGAAACTTAAGGACTGGGGGTTAGAGTTAGGGATAGCTTAGTGGGTAGCGCTCAGTGGCACAGTGCTTGCCTATGATGTGCTAGGTCCTGGGTTCTATATCCAGAACTGCAAAAAAAAAAAAAAAGACTTTAAAAAAGGTTGAAGCAGCCAAGCATGGTGGCACATGCCCATAATCCCACCATTTGGGAGGCTGAGACAGGAGGATTGCCAGGAGTTTGAGGCCAGCCTAAACTACATATGAGATCCTAGATCAAAAAAGGTATGGTACAGACATATACATATCATGTATGTGTGTCTGAGACAGCAAGCAGGTGTGAGCAATGCTAACAACTGGTGAATTTAGGTGAAGACACATTATTGTGCTATTTTCTCAACTTTTCCATAGGACTGAACCTCTTGTTTTATCATTTTTTTAATTTTTTAATTTTTTTTCCGGTACCAGGAATCGAACTTACAACATCGCGCTTGCCAGGCAGGCACTGTGCCGCTGAGCTAAATCCCCAGCCCCTTATCATTTTTTAAAAAATTTATTATTTGCTTGTTTGGTGGGGCAACACGCTAGGCAAGTGCTCCACCACTGAGCTAGAGCCCTGCCCATCTGTAAATGTGAAATTCTCAAGGTGGTAAGTTAGGGAAAAAAAGAGAACAAGGCGTTTGTTTCCTCGTTGTTGGAACCGGCGCATGCCTGCGTTTACAGGGGTCCTTCCACATTTCCCCTTTCTTGTCCCTCCTGTGTGTCATCCCCGAGACTCAGGGACAAAGCCAAGGCGTCTAATCAGCTTCACAAGATACTCAGAGCCATCTGCCTTGCTCTAGATGCTATCTGAGGGGTTTCGGGTCACCCCAGCTCTTTCTCGGGTTTAATCCCTTCTATCAGAAGTTGCAGACTTTAAAGAGAAAGTGCTGCAGTGCCACCAAACCATATTTAAAAAATGAATATGAAGGTGGATGCTCAAAATTCCACAACAAGCAGAACTTAAATCTATCACCTCGAAATGCTTCAAATCCTTGAGGGCCGTCCTGCTGCACTTCGAGGCAAATGCCACCTCCGGGCAGCAGCTACAGGACCTTCCCGTTGCCCTCTCCACCGCGCCCGCCCCTCCTTCCGGCCTCCCCACAGGGCCCGGATCTCCCAAGCGGTCCTAGACCCACGCTCTGCTGCTCCTGGCCCAGAGCTTGGCCTGGCTGCTCCTTTTCATCCCGAAAGCCTCAGCTCGAATGTCACTTATCAGAATGGCTGCCTGTGACACCCTACCCAGGGAGGCTGCAGCCCCTCGTGCCCTCCCAGCCCATGTCCCTTTAGCATGTTTGGTCTAAGACACTCATCACTACCTGAAGGTACCTTGTTTATTTTATTTTATTTTATTTTTTTTATTTATTTGTCTTTTTGAAACAGGGTCTCGCTATACAGTACAGGTTGGCCTTGAGCTCGCTTTGTAGCCCAAACCAGTCTCGAACTCCCAGCGACCCTCCTGCCTCAGCCTCCCAAGTGTTGGGATTATAGGTGTGTGCCATCACGCCCAGCAAATATTCCTTTTCAAAGCAAATGGTTTACTTCCGTGGTACAGCACTGTCTTAGCTTGTTTGAGGCCCTGCATTTGATTCCCAGCATTGCAACAAAATAAATACATACTAATTTTTTTTTTTTTTTCTTTTTAAGACAGGATTTCTCTATGCAGTTCAGGCTGGCCTTGAGTTTACTTTGTAACCCTGGTTGGCTTCGAACTCGAATTGATCCTCCTGCCTCAGCCTTTCAAGTGCTAGGATTATAGGTGTGCACCATTATGCCCATTAATTTTCTTGTTTTCTTTTTGTCTTTTTGAGACAGGATCTTGCTATGAAGGTCAGGCTGACCTTGAGCTCACTTTATAGTCCGGGCTGGTTTCGAATTCGCAACAGTGCTCCTGCCTCAGCCTCCCAAGGTCCCACATTAATTTTCACACATAATTTCTGTGTGTCCTACACTTCAACCATACCCTGTGTCAGCATTAACATTTCAGGAGCTATAGTGAGCTTTACAGGCTCCTAAAATGTCTCCCAAAGAATCTTCAAAAGGAAACAGAAAGACAGCCATTCGAAGCCTGTGTAACACGTAAGAGGAGAACTGTACCTTATAACCATCCTAATGACGAGATATTTGTGTATTAACTTCACACTCACCCAATTCAAGTGATTTTTCTAGGGTTAGGATTCCTTATGCTGAGTTACAAGATTACTTATTATTGCTTTTTTAAGTTTGTGGACACAGGAGGTAAAGAACCTTATGAAGTTAAAATTAGATATGGGAACACAGTATTTTCAGTATTTGGTTAATGTTTACTTCTTCCTCTTTCCTTTTTTGAGCTTAATAGCTTGAAAGGCCAATTTTCCACTGCAATGAGTGACTGCAACAATTAAGAGAAAACAAATCCAAATCTCTTTCTTTCTCTACATCATCCAAATAATTGTGACACTATTCTATCCCACACTGAATAGCTTCACTCTCCCACAGATCATTATCTCCACTGAGATCCTATGAAGCTGTTATTTGTGGGTATTTAAAGAACATTATTCACAACACAACCATGCATAGGTTCACCAACCGTCTCTTCAAAGAATATCTCTACCCTCTACTCTCAAAAAATGTCTTTTTATAAAATATAAAATTCCTATAATCCTAGCACTCAGGAGACTGAGGCAGGAGGATCACCATGAGTTTGAATACAGCCTGTGCTACATGGTGAGTTCAAACCCAGCCTGAACTACATAGTGAAACCCTGTCCCAAATAATACCCAAACAAACAAACCCGAAAAACCTCACAAATTCCTACAAAAGAGTAGACATATATGTACAATTTAATAAACTATTAGATTGGGAAGCTGAGGCAGGAGGATCACCATGATTTCGAGGCCAGCCTGGGCTACAAAGTGAGCTGAAGGCCAGCCAAAACTGCATAGCAAGACCTTGTCTCAACAAGACCAAAAAAAAAAAAAAAAAAAAGAGAAAAAGGAAAATTTGTGGAATATGATGTGAACATTAACTAAGATGATGAAAAAAAAAAAAAAAAAAGCAAAATAAACAACTAGAAGGCCATGTAGCCTATACCCAGGCAAAGACACAGTGTTGCTCAACTGTGGAATACTGCCTACAGATAATAAAAAGTCATAAAATTATTGAGACCATTCATTCAGGAATTGTGTGAGTCCTGACTCACACCTTAGCATATAACTGCAGTAAATGATCACACTTTGCTGAGCTTTAGTTTTCCAAGATGTCAAAAGGGGAACTAATAGCACATCACAAGGTTATTGTAAAGACAAAAGTCATTTCAAAGCCCACAAAATGTGGCACAGGGCCTTGCTGAGCAAGTGGCGCCTATAATTACTGTCATTCACCTTGTTGAAGTTCCTGTTAGGGGCTGAAACTCTTTGTTTAACTGGGATTCCTCCCAGGAAGAGCTTGCTTAATCCATGGCAACTGGGGAGCGGAGGTTACTCACCTAGTGCAGTCATCCTCTTAGAAACTGCCTCGCTGGTGATGTACCCCACATACTCCGGACACGCGTCCCAGAACTGTCCTGCATGGGCCAGGAGCCACTCCTGTCACTGGATGCACTGGCTGAGCTGGTGAAGTAGAGTGGAAATATTTTAATTCCCCTTCTGTTCTCCTCTAAACCCCTGAGTTGGAGCCAGCAATGGAAGGCTTGAAATGCTATTAAGAAACAAAGGAGGACAGTTGTAGAAAGATGCCGAGCCTGTGCTGGCACAATGGATTTGAGAAGAAGGGGCCAGCAGTTACAGGGGAGGGCAGTTCTAGGCAGGTGGGGTACAGCAAGAACAAGTTACACTGTCAGAGCTGTTCATCCTCCCTAGCATAGTGCCTATCTCGGGGAATGGGCCAGTCACCTTAAAGAGGGTACTATTTCTTTGTCAAATTTAGGAGAGGAAAATTAGGCTTACATAGCTTACTTTCCTTTAATCCTTTCTAGCTACTATCCTGTCTAGCTACTACGTGATAACACTAGGATTTGCCTGTCTTCCTGCCTTCCTCCATCCTTTTTTTTTTTTTTTTTTCTGGTACTAAGAATCAAACTCAGCCAGGTGCTTGTGCCACTGAGCTATATCCCTGCCCCTTTATCTCTTTTTTTTTGAGATAGTAGTCTACACTGGCCTTGAACATGTGATGATACTCCTGCCTCAGCCTCCCAAGGGCCAGGATTACAGGCATTTGGCATGATGCCCAGCTATTGCTATAATGTATAATTATGTAATGTGATTAAATTGAGATGGCACTGTTTATGATCCAACCAATTTTGTTTTGCTACTGAGGAAAAGTGTTTCAATTTTAAAGTTGGATTTTCCCTTTAGACACTTTGACTACTACTTAATGTGCACAATATTAGGCAATAGTAACAAAAGCACAGATTTTTTTAGGTTGTGCAATGCTGGAAGTGTTTGGCAAATTAATCTAAACTCAATAAAAAGGATATACATCATTTCAACAGATTTAGTATTAAGTTGAGCCATGTGAAGTTGCCATTTTTGCAATTAAAAATGATCAATTATTGTAAATTTCATATAATTCACCTTTAGTCCCATTCCATATATATAAATTCAGTTGTAGCTAGACAGTTATTTTCACCAAAACAGGCAATTTTATGCTGGGTGTGGTGGCACCCATCTGTAATCCCAGCTACTGAGGAGGCCGAGGCGGGAGGATCACTTGAATTTACGACTTTGAGACAAATCTGGATAACACTGCAAGACCCCGGTCTCAAAAAGTTTTTATTCATTACAGTGCATTAAATAAGTACTTAGAAGATAGCTGTCCACCAGGCATGTAGCTCAGTGGTACAGTGCATACTTAGTATGTGTAAGGCCCTGGGTTCAAGCTGTAGCAACATGCCCAGTGTGGTGGTGTACACCAGTAATCTCAGCACTCAGGAGGCGGAGGCAGGAGGACTGATGCAAGCTGGAGGCCAGCCTGGACTACAGAATGAGTTCAAGGCTACTTTGAATTACATAGCAAGACCCTGTCTCAAAAACAGATCTGTAGCAACAAGTTGTTGAATGAACGAATGATAAAAGCACAGAAATTATGAGAACTTTCCACTGAACATAGATTGCATGTGGGTTTAGGTTTAGGTTGGGCACAAAGGAAATACTGTGTTATTCTCATAAATTGTTAAAAAATTCAATTTAAAAACCTAACAACCCAGGGCTGGGGATTTAGCTCAGTGGCACAGCGCCAACGTTCACAATCGAACGTTGTGAGTTCAATTCCCGGTACCTGAAACCCTCCTCCCCGCTGCAAAAAAACCTAACAACCCAGAAAACTGAAAACATGTCTGCACAAAAACTTGTACATGAATATTCATAGCCGTATTATTATTCATAATAGCCAAAAAGGAGAAACAACCCCAATTTCCACCAACCAATGAATAGGTAAGTAAATGGATAAACAATGTTTTATATCCACACATGGAAATATTATTCAGTCAGAAACAAAAATGAACTACTGCTACATGCTGCAACAGCGATGAACCTTGAAGAATAGTATGCTGAATGAAAGAAGCCAGAAACAGGTTACACACTGTAGTAACCATTCATAGAAAATGTCTAGTATAGGCAAATCTATGAAGACAGAGGCCCGGCGTGGTAGTGCACACCTGTAATCTCAGCACTCAGGAGGCTGAGGCAGGAGAATCACTGTGAGTGCTGGGTATACCACTGAGCTACATCCCAGACCTCATATTTCTTTTTGAAAAGTGAGGGAAAAAAACTTCCTAAGATCTCCTCTCAAAGGATGTCAAAATGTATTATAAAATAATAGGCATGTGTTTATGAATCGGAGAGTATTAGGAAACGTTCCCTTGTTTAATTACAAACCAAGTTGGAATGTTCGGAGATTTTAGTAATCCGACAGCCAATTTTAAGAGGATTAACCAGAGTTCCCCAGTGTTAGTATCAATTTAAACTGCATCATTCAAAAACTACATGGTCATATTGAAGTAATTATAACAATGACTTCATGAAAAATTACCAATTAGATTGTCTTTTTAAGACTGTCATTTAAAATACCCTGTATTTATACGAAGCTCAGTACTTCCTGAAGTACTGAATTGTGCCTCAAGATCTAATGTATGGGAGAACCACGTCTCTAAGCACTTAATTAAAGGCAGAAAAGTGGGTGGAATTGGACAGGAATGTATTATTAGCAATGCTAACATTCCCGGTTGGAACATAAAAGGAAGCAGGATTGAAGAAACCTAATGCTAGTCTCCTATGCAGTTAAATTGTAAGAATTAAAATTACTACATCCTGGAGCATAATTTTTAAAAATGCAACGTACACACACACATTAAAGTCCACACCGCTAAGTGTAGATTGTGAATAACAAATAGAACCTACCAACCGAAGTAAGGTTTCATTTTTTTGGCCAAAAGAGAACATGGAAAGAGCTGAGATCCCCGCAGAGCGGACTCTCGATTAACGTACGCAGCTGCCGGTGGGTCGGGGCGGGGCCGAGGACTTGACGTGGGGACCCCGAGAGCGAGGCACGCACGTTATCTTGCCGCACACCGATATCTACAGTGATTCGCCTTCATTTTTACCATCCTGACTGGTCTTTTTCAGACTTCCTTCCCAAATTAAAGCGTAGCTTTTGTAAAACTTTCAGGGCTCTTTCGTCGGGACAACGCGTCTAGACCTTTTCTCCCCCTACAAACGTTTAATCAACATTTGGGGGTGCTGGGGATTTAGCTCAGCGGCACAGCGCCTGCCTGGCAAACGCGAGGTCGTGAGTTCGATTCCCGCTACCGGAAAAGCAAAACCAAAAACACTCGGGACGCAGAGGGCGCCGCGTGAGGGGGGCCGCGCCCTCCCCGCGCAGACCCGCTCGGGTTCCACCGCGCCGGAGAGCTCGCCGCGCGCCCCGAGGGGT